TTGATTGAACTGTTAGTATTATTTTGAAAACAAAGTCCAAGTCCTCATGTGTAGTTGAACACTCAAATAGATGTGATTATGTTAAAATGGAATTCGATTTAGACTGCACGTTTCTGGGTATAAAAGCAGTTAGGGGTCATGTTGCATGCTGTAGTTGAATTTTAAATCATTGATCATCACAAGTGTCTCACAAGTGGGTACATTAGGAGAAACACATAAATAATCTGAGTGATAAATCATATTGTCAATTGGAGCTGTTATTAAAAATTATCTATGCTATATACTGAGTTTGAGTTCAAGTTTCCACGATTGTACTGAACCTGGACGTGAAAATATTTATGAAGCTAAGTGTATTTGCTCACGTAATTGGACCTATAAGTTGGCACTAGGATCCTTATCCTACTGGGCTCACACGTCAGGCCCAAAATTGCCACACTTAGTAATGTTTGCACTAGCACGCCCTGGGCCTGGATCCCGTCATCAGGCCCAAATGCTAAATATCCGTTGACAATGTTGTGTTTAAATTCAGTATATGTCTCCAATATTTTACATTGACATACTAATTAATTAGGACTCTTTCTTTTGTTATTAGAGACACATTAAAATAAAAAATTATAGATTGCTTTAGGTTTGCCTTTTAAAAATAAAACGAGATGAGCCTCGCTACACAAAACAAACAAACGGCGGGGCCCTCGATATTCAAAGTACTTAGACTTCGGGATGTGCCATTTAGCGAATTTTCATGGCTTCCCGCAAAGTTAATAAGACGCTAGCCACTTTAGGCGCGCTTTTAATAATTTTATCTTCTTAAATATGGGTGTGCATTTCATGCGACCCAAATCCAAATCCCAAAACGTTGAATAAGAGGTGTCGAGGATCCGGGTGCATTTCATGTGATGTGATCCAAAAGCACGCTCTTAAACGGCGTTCATTTTCGTAAAAAAGAAGATAACTAAAAGCGGTAAATAATCTTAAAAATTGCATCATAGGTTGGAATATGTATAAAAACCAGATTTTAGCCAATTATAATAATTTAAGCGACCGTGCTAGAACCACGGGATCTGGGGGTGCCTAACACCTTCCCTCGGGTCAACAGAATTCCTTATTCAGAATTTCTGGTTCGCAGACTCCAATTGGGAAGTCGAATTTTTCCTCGATTTGGGATTTAAATTAAAACCGGTGACTTGGGACACCAAAAGCCAATCCTATCCCAAGTGGCGACTCTAAACAAATAACTAAATAATCCCATTTCGAATAATGTCACTTTAAATGGAAAAACTCCCTTATACATATATCCTTCGGGGTAGGTGTGTAAAAAAGGAGGTGTGACAGTCCCACATAAACTGTAAGCCATCTAAGGCCAATCCTGATTCAACCCCGCCTCGCCCCCGGAATGAAGTAAGGAAAGCTTTACTCCTCCTATCCTAATCTAAAGCTTTACATTCTAGTTTGATTGATAGTTTTCTTTTGTTTAGTGCAAGAATCTATTTCGTGTTAAAAATAACATACTTTTAATGGAGTCCTTAAATTATTCATCACTATTTGATTCAATTATCATCAATATATTTTGGTAAATAATAGATTTCTCAAAGGGCAATTGATTTGATAGTGTTACATTAAAAATGTGGTCGCCGGAATATGTGTTTGGTAGTGTATGTCTTATATTTAAGAAAAAACCGACAAATAACCGAAAAAACCAAAAAACCGACATAAACCGAATCGAGAAAAACCGACTTAATTGGTTTGGTTTGGTTCTAATATTTGAAAAACCGACTTACTTGGTTTGGTTTCTTTTTAGGAAAAAACCGATCCAAACCGAACCATGAACACCCCTAAGTCCAGCATAACATACTGGAATTTGGAGCACCGGTGCTCCAGTCTGGAGCCAGCAAAGTATATCGGTCCAGCATAATATGCTGGAAGTTCATACACAAGTGCACCGAACTCCAGTATATTATGACGGATCGGTCTCTGTTGCAGCAAAATAGTGGCTATTTTTCAATAACTTGGCAAACGCTGGCTATTTTTGAATGGCCAGTCCGAAAACTGGCTAGATCGTGCTATTTTAACTGTTTTAAAGTGGTTGAATAAGGGTTTAATATTTAGGGTGGGTACCGGGTATTGAGTCGGGTCAGTATAAAAATAAACCCAGATGGATCAAATAGCTAAAACGACTGCCACGTGGCATCTCGGATAACTTGGGAGTATATTTATCCAATAGTATGACGATAAGGGTATTTTGCTCGTTTAGTATAATGAAGGATTACTATAAATAATTTTCGATAGTAGAAGGGTATTTTTGACCCTTCTCCGCTTAAAATAATTAGTTAATGCCTCATATGAAAAAAATTCCAAAATTTATATTTGGATAATTCACCTAAGACCCCTCACAGTTTTAAGTTTTAACATATTCAAATCAAATTTTCAAGTGATAGTACCATTCCCACCAATTTTAATTTATATTTTTAAGTTAAAAAGCGATAAAATAATTGCTCTTTTTTTTTTTTTACAGGAAATAACACAAAATACCTATTTGAGCTTAAAATATTACTCGTCTAGCAATCCTTCAATCCTCTTTGACTATGTGATAATCTTTCCTTCTCCAAATCTCTTATATCTCCTAATCTCTTCACCAAATCTCACCCACCTTCCAATTTTTGTTTTGTTTTGGAAAGTGCTTAAAAGGAAGAAAATTGCTTTAAAATTTCATATCTGAAGAAAAAGAATTGATATTCCGAGCGTATGAGTTTAAAATTTCAGATCTGAATTTTTTGTTTGTGTTTTGAAGTGTTTTTTTTTTATTTGTTGGGAGTTGTTCTTTGATTTGTAGATTGTAGTGTTAATGATGATTTTCGAAGATTTGTCTTAAAAAAATTAGATCCCGTTAAGGACCTTGATGCTTGAAACAGATAAACCGAATTGTCGAGTTTATAGTTTTCGTAATCCGATTCTAATTGAGGTGTGCTAAAAATGCTAATTGGAGGTTGTGGCTAAATTTTGAGTCAATTTGGTAAGATTTTGGAGTAGATTTTTGGATTTTTAGGTCAAAATTGAGTTGAACTAACGAACAAGACGAATTGTATAGTTTATACCATTTTGATATATTGTATGTCATTTTGGTATACAATATATAATTCAAGAGTATACAGTTTATAGCAATAATATATTATTATAGTATATAGAATAATGTCGTATGCCGTTACAAGAGGGGTTCATAATGACACGTGGCATTTTTATTGGAGCAAAAAATAAGAAATATATTTTTAAATTCGATTTATTTATTTCCGTTAGCAATAAGGGTAAAGACGGGCCATTTGAGTAACTGAAGGGGTAGCAATAAGCCACTTTCCAAATAGAGGACAAATTTGCTCTATTTCGTATACTTTAGGGGTAAATTTGGCCATTTTCCTATTTAATGAACATGCAGTGGGTAGAGTCGGTTAAATAATTTGGAATAGGTATAGCCGGGTAAATTATTTGGTTGTGTATGTAATTGTGAAGTCATCCTCTCTTTTTTTTGACAAACAAAAAAGTAAATTCACACATGTACTTAGCACTAAACTTTTTTAAAAGTCAACTCTTTGACTTTCGAATTTCAATAAATTTTACCTTTATACTCCCTCCGGGCCAAAATAAGTGATTTTTTGGATGTTTTCACACAAATTAAGAAATCCACCTTTTAGCATTAATTAGCAATGAAATTGACCATATTAACCTTTACTATCTCACATAAACACTCCTAACACATATTCCAACACCATTTACTTTAAGGACAATGTGGGAAAAAAAATTAATTCATTCTTGAAATCTGGAAAAATCACTTATTTTGGACCGGAGAGAATAGTTAATAGCATAAGTACTAAAAACACTCAGATTGTTAATAAAATGATTTAGTAGATGTGAAGAAATTACGTTGTAGTTTTTGTCTTCACCGCAATTAAGAATAATATACATATTTATATTATATATGCCATTATTCTATTAATGATTTAAAATATAATATGGGCAATTAATTATTATTTATTATTAATAATATTTAAATCTTTTTGACATATCATAATCATGCATTTAAACGAAATATAGCTAATAAATTCAAAATATAGCTTTAGAATCTTTATCTCTGTTGGTTCTTATACTGGGGTCTATGTCGCCAACGTGATGAGGTCTACGAATGAAGCTGAAGAAAAATGAAACTAGTCTTTGAGTGAAGCTGAAGAAAAATGAAACTAGTCTTTCTGTAGCTCAAATTTAGTTGTGGGTAATATGCATCTATGGTTGTGAATAGAATAATAATTCAGTTCTAAAATTTTAATCAATCAAATTTGTTATGAATCTAAAAAAAACCATCATTTTTTTTTTATTTGCACCGGGTGTCCGAGTCTCTTCGAGCCCCGAGTAATCCCGGGGGTGCACAGGCCCTCGGCAAGGAGTTTCCCGCAAGTGCACCACGGTTAATTCAGGTTTTACCCAGTCCGATAGCCCTCAGAAATTGTTTGCACCCAGTGGGTTTCGAACCATCATTTAAATAAATCACAAGTGCTAATGAGGTGAAATGGTCGGCATCTCATGTGTGCTCACCAAAGGGGAGAGCAAATGACCAAATCCAAGTCCTAAGAGTTCATTTAACTCGACAGATAAAACAGAAAATGTTACTACTATAAAAGGGAAATGGGATCAGAAGCAGAATGTCTGCATCTGAGGCCTCTAACCATCAAGCAGCAGTTAAACTTATTTAAGAAATTGTCATTCTGTTATACCTTAATGAAAATGCAACTTAAAGAAGAAAAATACTCAGGCATGCCATTTCATCAACTGAAATATGAAGAATTTGTCATCTCCAAGACATCTAAGACATGTCCTGTGATTAAGAGGAAGAACCGCTACGTCTTGTATTCGGCAAGACATAGATTAGTAAGAACATAAAAGCAATTTCAAGGTTGAGCAGCTACTTAACAGATTATCTACGGATGACCATTGTCTATTGGACTGCTAATCTAATATTGTATGCAAGCACATTATGAAATGAATCTGTCTCCGGTACAAGGCAGCAAGATTCGAACTCATGATGTACAACTAACATCACGCTTTGTGCTTTACAACCGAACCAAAACCCTGGGACAAAGAAGAAAAATACTACCTTAAAAGAAAAACCTCCCCAATAACATAAAACACCTCTTGTTTCTATCCAGCTCTTAGCTTTACATAAGAACATTTTCACACATATGAATTTGCTTATGAATCTTTTAGACTCCTTCTTGCAATACTGTTTGACATCATGTTAATCCTTCAGAAATGTGGGGAAAACACATGTTCCTTAAACTCGTCTAATTCATATTACTGTTCTTTGAGCGAAAGGTGCATGAATTCAGAAGCTAGTTTAGTAGCAAAATACATAGACTACCTAAGATAGAAATTCTGATATAGGAAACTTCTGAAGAAGTAGCTAAGCACAACAGCCTTTGACAGAGATAAGTTTCTTTTGAAGACAAAGACTTTGGCAGATATTAAAATAATCATTTGACTTGCAGAACGAGGACGAGACTGAATATCGACCTGGGTAGTGTCTTGAACATTGAAGTAGGTTATCCTGAATGAATCCACAGCCAAGTTCAAGTAGAAAGCTTCCTCGGGCTTTCTAAGAGGCAACGCCTCCCTTAAAGCAGCTCCATCAACTTGAATGACAATGCCAGCCTTCTCAAGATGTTCAACCTCATCCTTAATTGCCAAAGCAATTTGATAGCAAGTCTCAAATCTAAACAGCAACAAAACACCAGTCAACTTAGATGTGTGAGACGCTGAATGAGGAAAAGAAAAGTGTTTAAGCTTAAAAATTCAAGCCTTAGTGCTTGCTCATCACCATAGATAATTGGAGGCTTAACGCAGTGGGATCCATAAGATTGAACCCATCCATTGGTTGTAAAAGCTTCTTAGGCATAAGCATAACAAAGTCTAGCTCTTCCTGGAGTTTGACTACTTTGCTGATTTCCTCTGTAATATACTTGAAATATCCTTCCCCCGAGATCCTTCAATAGTCAGAGAATAAATAATTAATATGCAGACACAAAGCATAACAATATAAAAGGAATAACTGCCCTAGTAGATAGCTAACTTGTAAGCCTTGTATTCTAGTCGAACTTTTCTTAGCTCTAACGCTAGAGAAGAGCATTATTTCCTGGAGTAGAAATTATACCAGCACAGAAAGAAGCTTCTCATCTGACAGGAAGCTGTTATTGATTCTCAAAATGATGAAAAATGATAATAACTGAAGACTACTAAATAGCACTGAAAATGCTATTCCTAGACTTATAATGTGTATATATAAGGAAACGAACATCATTTCTCATATTAATAGTGCAATAAAACATGATTTCCAAGATAAAGTAGAATGCATAACAGTCAAATTCTTAGAACTGATCTACCTGGTCAATAAGCTTGCTTGGAAAGCTTAAGCAATGGTCTAATTGTCATTATTTCAACTCTGCAATTCCATTGATCTAATTTCTATCCAGAAGTAAAAGGAAATTGCATCAAAGTGAAAAGTATAGCTGAATAAATCAAGTGAAACAAATCACTTCTTATTTTCCAAGTGAAATTGTGGTATCCTGTCAAGCAAAGAAGGATGCTTCGCTATAACATCTATTAGTAACTCTACTGTTCTTGCATCAAATGAGAAGCCCCTTTCATTCATTTCCTTCAGAAAGGTTGTCATTTCAGTAACTTTGCTAAACTTGAGAAATCCTCGCACAATAATATTGTAAGTGGCATTGTCCGGCGCGCAACCATTCTCTTCCATTTTTCTTAGCATATCTTTAGCTTCATCAAACAATCCTTCTAGACAAAATACAGTAATTATTATTGAGTATGTAATCACATCGGGAAACAATCCAATTAAAGAAAGCTTCTCAAAAATAGCATGAGCTCTGTCAAGCTGGCCAGTTTTGCACAATCCGTCTATTACAACATTGTAAAATTCAATATCAGTATCTTCTCTCTTTCTTTCCAACTCATGAAATAGCAACATAGCTTTCTCAACAAGTCCATTCTGAAAATAACCACGGAGCAAAATGCGATTAGTGCATAAATCAGGCCTGAGCCCCATGGATAGCATCTCAGCAAAGAATTTTTGCGCAAAGCCAATTCTTCCAACTTCAAATAGACCTTGCAAGATAGTATTGTAGGTAACAGTGCCAGGTTCCAATCCGTTTCGAGAAATTTCATGAAACAAATGCATGGCCTCATCCAATTTCTTTTTCCTACAATATCCATGTATTAATATGTTATAGCTAATAATGGTAGGCTTAATGCTCTTATTAATCATGGAATCAAAAAGTCTCCTTGCTCTATCCATTTGACCTCGCAAGCAATATCCATCAATTATCACATTGTAGGTGACCACATTAGGCTCCACACCTTTTCCATTCATGTGTCTCATTACCTCCTCAGCTTCTTCAATTTTCCCTTCTTTGCAAAGTCCATCTGTCACTATAGTCAAGGTGTGCACATTTGGATAAATATTAAGATTTACCATTTCAGAGAACAAAGTCCTAACCTTTTCCCACTGTCCAAACTTACATAAACCATCAATCAATGTATTATATGTGACAACGTTTGGAGGAATGCCTTTTTGTTTCATCTCTTCGAATAGGCTAACTGCAGCATCTAGCATTCTATCCTTGCAAAGAGCATCAATAACAATGTTGTAGATGTATGTGTTGGGCTTAGTGATTCCTTGTTCCATTACCCTAAGCAAATCGAATGTTTTTTGAGTATGGCCCATTTTGCTAAGCCCATTCATGAGAATTGAATACATGACTTCATTAGGCTCACAAATATTCTCTCTTACCAACTTTTTGAACAAGTTAACCGCATCTTTTATCTTATTTTCCACAAAGAGTCCCCTTAGTAAGGTGCTAAAGGTGATAACATCAAATGGAATGCCACTCTTCAAGTAAATAGCTAACACTGAAAATCCACAGTCAGAACGATGCATTAGGCAATAACTGTTAATTGCTATATTCAAGATGGAATCACTAATTGGGATGCCTAATTTCAGCATTTCTCGAAAAAGGGAAAGAACAGCAGAGTAATGATTCATATTTAGCATAGTCTTTAATAATTTGGAGAAGCTAAAAACAGAAGGAAGAGGCTGCGTACTGACCATTCAACGAAAGAGACTCAGAGCATCATCTAAACACTTGACATTCTCAATATTGCTATGAGGTGAAGAGTAATCTCTGATTGCAATTGCCGAAGCAGAATGAGAATTAGCAAAGAAGGAGATAAAGCTGGGAATAATACCATTGGAAGAGTAACGCAGCAGAGCAATTCTCGCCATCTTCAATTTTGTTTGCGGGTGGTGCTCCGCTCTATCTCGGTGTGCCTCAATTTGGGATCTTTGTGTGCCCTAATTTTGCCGGAAACTTGGTTGTCACGTGACAATTAGTATTTTCTATCCATTGTTTGGTTTAAAACAGATATCCAGATTATAATTCTAGGATAACTTATATTAAAAAAGTTTCATTTATATGAGATAAGTTATACTAAAATTAATGATAGTTCTTTCTTTAGCTAATATTTCCAACCAAAATTAATTTATTCCCAAATTTTTTACTTGAATAACTCACTTAATCCCTTCAACCAAACGGCCCCTAACTTCAAATCAAAGGTGACAGATCGTTAAAATATCATGGTATAGCCAGTTTTCACACTGGTCAATGAAAAATAGCCAGCGTTTATCAAGTCAATGAAAAATAGCCACTATTTTGCTGCAACAGGGACCGGTCCAGTATAATATACGGGAGTTCTGGTGCATTTGTGTACGAACTCCAGCATATTATGCTGGACCGGTATACTTTGCTAACTCCTGTAAAATTTGCGGGAGACTGGAGCACCAATGCTCCAAACTCCAGTATATTATACTGGAAAATTATACTTGCTGGAACTCCCGTAAAATTTGCGGGAGTTCCAGCATAATTATGCTTGAACTCCCGTAAAATTTGCGGGAGTTCCAGCATAGTTATCCTGGAACTCCCGTAAAATTTACGGGAGTTCAAGCATACTTATGCTGGAACTCCCGTAAAATTTGCGGGCGTATTTTTCCGGATTTTGAACAGTGTTTTCGCTCAGATTTAAAGTGACTAAATTTCGATGACTTTTGAAACTTGGCTATTTTTCAACGACCAGTGGTAAATCTGGCTATTTTTGAATTTCTCCCTGACAGCTCCCTTTCCAACAATTCTAAATTGTTTATTTTTTTAAAGTATTGTTATAAATAGAGTTTTATTTAAGGTGAATGCCTATTTTAGAGAGATTGTAGGGATTTTACTTTCCCTATAAATAGAGGGGTCTCATTCCATTGTAATTCATCTCAAAGCAATAAAGAATTCTCTCTCTCTTTCTTTGCAATATTCTTCTTTATTGTTTTATTACACGTTATCAACACGAGACTCTACCGTCTCAAGGAGCTATTTGAGAAGATTAAGCAAATATGGAAATCTCACAATCCGCAATCTTGGATCAAAGTCCAATTGTAAAAATATTTATTTAGTTGATTCATGTACGACACATACAATATTCAAAGAGAAGATATATTTCTCTCATTTAAGTATGTGTAAGGCAGATGTTACTACAATTTCTGGTAGTAGTAATCTAATTGAAGGCTCTGAAAGAGCTACTATAATTCTGCCTAAGGGAACAATACTTATCATCGAGAATGCAATGTTCTCCTTCAAGTCCAATAGAAACTTGTTGAGTTTAAAAAAATCCGCCAATATGGATATCATATTGAGACAATAGATGAGAATAATCTTGAATATCTCATCATTACCAAGAATGACTCTAGCCAGAAAAGGGTTATTGAAAAATTCTCATCTTTATCTTGTGGCCTGTATTGGACAAGAAGTAGTGCAATTGAGGTACATTCTATTGTAAACCAAAAAGTTACTGATTCCAATACTTTTGTACGTTGGCATGATCAATTGGGATACCCTGGATAAATTATGATGAGACGGATTATAGAAAACTCAAATGGGCATCCATTAAAGAATTTAAAGATTCTTTTAAATAATGAATTTTCTTGCACTTCTTGTTATCAAGGCAAGTTAATTATTAGACCATCACCAACAAAGGTTGGGATTGAGTCCCATGCGTTTTTGCAACGTATACAAGGGGACAATTGTGGACCTATTCACCCACCTAATGGGTTGTTTAGATACTTTATGGTCTTAATAGATGCATCTTCTAGATGGTCTCATATGTGTCTATTGTCATCTCGCAACCTCGCGTTTGCAAAATTAATGGCACAAATAATTCGATTATGGGCGCAATTCCCCAATAATCCAATCTCTATTAAACTTGATAATTCTGTTGAATTTTCATCCCAAACATTTAATGATTATTGCTTATCAATTGGGATAAAAGTGGAACATCCTGTAGCTCATGTTCACACTAAAAATGCAGAGTCTTTAATTAAACGTCTGCAATTGATAGCAAGACCGTTACTCATGAAAACGAGGTTGCCCACTTCTGTTTGGGGTCACGCCTTTGCATGCAGCAATGCTAGTTCGTCTCAAACCGACAAATTATCATAAATATTTCCCGTTGCAATTAGTTTTGGGTCATGAACCTAATATATCCCATTTAAGAATTTTTAAACGCACAGTATATGTATCTGTAGCACAGCCATATCGCACCAAAATGGGCCCCAAAGAAGGTCAGGAATATATGTTGGGTTTGAATTACCCTCCATTATTCGCTACCTCAAAACATTAACGGGAAATTTGTTCACTGCTCGATTTGCAGACTGTCGAGTCGATGAGACATTTTTCCTAAAATTAGGGGGAGAAAATGATGAAACCAAACGGGAAATTTTGTGAAAAAATCCATCATTCTCATCTTGATCCACGTGCCTCTATTTATGAAAAAGAGGTGCAAAAGATTATTCATTTACAAAAAAATAGCAAATCAAATGCCCCATGCTTTTATGGATCTGAAAAGGATAACAAAATCACATATCCCTACAGAGAATGTTCCAATCCGTATTGATGTCCCTGTTGGACAATCTTCTAGTGTCATAGCTAATGAGTCAAAAGCACGCCTAAAACGTAGCAAACCATTAGGTTCTAAGGATCAAAATCCTAGAAAAGGGAAAACAATTGATCAAGATGACACTATGAAAGAGTCTCATGAAGAAATCCACGATTTAACCAATCCTGAGATTCATGAGGAAATCACTGAGCCTTAGACTCATAAAAATAAGGAACTATCAATAAATTCAATCGATATTGAGACAGATTTGAATCGATTGGATATAGTGGTGTATTATGTCTTTGCATATAATGTTGCATCTAGTATTATGCAAGATAGTGAGCATCTTGAACCTCAATCTGTTGGAATGTCGACAAAGACGTGATTGGCCAAAATGGCAAGAAGCAATCCAATCAGAGTTGAATTCACTAGCAAAACATGAAGTTTTTGGGCCTCTAGTCCAAACACCTAATAATGTTAAGCCAGTTGGCTATAAATGGATCTTTGTACGCAAGAGGAATGAGAAAAAATGAGGTACAGAGATATAAGGCACACCTTGTTGCACAAGAATTTTCACAAAGGCGTGTCGATTATGAAGAGATATATTCACCTGTTATGGATGCTATAACGTTCCGTTATCTCATTAGTTTTAATGTCCATAAAAAGCTTGACAAGTATTTACTTGATATGGTTACCGCCTACCTTTATGGCTTATTTGATAATGAGATACACATGAAAATTCCCGAGGGATTTAAAATGCCTAACGCATATAATTCAAAGTTCCGGAAAATATTTTCAATCTCACTGCAAAGATCTTTGTATGGTCTAAAGCAATCAGGACGAATGTGGTTCGTCTTAGTGAGTATTTATTAAAGGAAAGTTATATAAATGATGTCATTTGCCCATGTGTTTGTATAAAGAAAACAACATCAGAATTTGTTGTACTTGCCGTATATGTTGATGGCATAAACCTTATTGGAACTCCTATAGAACTCCAAATGGCAATTGATTATTTAAAGAAGGAATTCGAGATGAAAGATCTTGGAAAGACAAAATTATATCTCGGTTTGCAAATTGAACATTTGGCAAACGAAATTTTCGTTCATCAATCTACCTACATAGAAAAGGTATTGAAACGGTTTTACATGGATGGACCACATTCATTAAGTACTGCGATGGTTGTTCGATCACTTGATGTGAATAAGGATCCATTCCGACCTCAAGAAAAGAATGAAGAGCTACTTGGTCCCGAAGTACCATATCTTAGTACAATTGGTGCACTAATGTATCTTGCTAACACTAAGGCCCGACATAACTTTTTTCAGTTAATGTCTTAGCAAGATATAACTCTGCTCCTACAAGGAGACATTGGAATAGAATCAAACACATGTTGCGGTGTCTAAAAGGGACAATCGATATGGGATTATTATGGCAATAATTGCAATTCCGATCTTGTTGGTTATGCCGATGCTGGGTATTTATCTGACCCATACAAGGCTCGATCTCAAAGAGGCTATGTGTTTACATCTGGAGGCACTGCCATATCTTGGCGATCGACTAAGCAATCAATCGTGGCTACTTCATCTAATCATGCTGTGATAATTGTTATTCATGCAGCAAGTCGAGAATGTATGTGGTTGAGGTCTATAACACACCTTATTCGAGACAAATGTGATTTGGAGTGTGACAAACTACCCATAATTTTGTATGAAGACAATGCAACATGCATACCCAATTGAAGGAAGGATTCATAAAAAGAGATAGGACAAAGCACATTTTACCGAATTTATTTTTCACACATGATCTTCAAAAGAATGGTGAATATCAATGTGCAACAAATTCGTTCAAGTGATAATATGGCTGATTTGTTCACCAAATATCTACCGACGTCAACCTTCGAGAAGCTAGTGTACAAGATCGGGATGTGAAGGCTCAAGGATGTGAATTGATGCTCTCATCAGGGGGAGTTAATACGCGTTATACTCTTTTTTTCTTACAAGGTTTTGTCCCACTGGGTTTCCTTGCAAGGTTTTTAACGAGGCAACCAAAAGGCATATTATTAGATATGTGTACTCTTTTTTCTTTACTAGAATTTTTTTCCCACTGGGTTTTATTTTAGTTAAGGTTTTAACGAGGCACATTGTCTGTTGAATAGACATTAAAGGGGGAATGTTATAAATAGAGCTTTATTTAAGGTGAATCCCTATATTTTAGAGAGATTGTAGGGATTTTACTTGGTGGCTAAGTCACTCTTTCCCTATAAATAGAGGGGTCATATTCCATTGTAATTCATCCCAAATCAATAAGAATCTCTCTACTTTTCTCTACAATGTTCTTCTTCTTTTATTATTTTATAACAAGTATAGAATAGTTGCTCTTTTTTTTTAACAAGCAAAATATCTAAATTGACACGTGTA